CTGCTTGTCCCCTCGCGTTGTGAGGACGGACGACAGGTTCTCTATGGGATTAAGATCCGGGGAGTTGCCTGGCCACGGATCCAAAATTTCAATGTAATGATCTTCGAGCCACTTCTTTATCACTCCTGCTTTGTGACAAGGATCTCCATCATGCTGGAAAATGCACAGATCACAGACCAAATTGCTCATGGATCGTTGGAAGAAGTCCAAGACGTTTTGATACCATTCTTTATTCCTGGCAATGTTTTTGGGCAGAATTATGAGAGCCCACTCCCTTGGTTGAAAGGCAACTCCACACATGGATGGTCTCAGGATGCTTCATTTTTTGGCCAATGAAGCTTTTAGCAATTATTTAAAATGCATCTGATCACTCTACACAATAATCTAGAAACAATGTGAATGAACCACAACATCTTAAGCTGCAAACTTTGCAAAACACAAAATTTGTCACTGCCAAAACCTTTGGCCAAGACTGTATACAAAATGGCCCCATGGTATTTGGACACTTAAGTCATGCTTTAAAAAAAAAAGCGAATAACGCTTAACGAGAGTCTTTGCGCATTGTGTTCATATCCTGCTGTTCTGTGGCCACGGATTTGCGTGTCTTGTCTTTTTCTCCTACAGGTGACTTGGCAGGACCCTGTATGTTATGGTACTAAATTAGTTTTAATCGTTTAACCACCACAGCGTCTCGTCTCCATTGGCAACACGCACCATTTGAGTCGATTGCAAATGATGTCGCAGGTAACGGAGAGTGCAGGTGGCGATTGCAAGTGACATTGTAATTTTGTTTCTTTTTTTCTTGTCTTGACCACCTGGTTACTGTTGTAAAATGTTGAGAGATTCAATGTAAAAAAATAAATAAAATTAAATTAAAAAAAGATTGAAAGTGACGTCACTTGAGGAAGCACAGGTATCTGAGAGTGTAAGTGCATGTCTGCAGCCAAACCCTATTGGTCACGTTGAATTAGGCTACGTCCACACGAAGCCAGAGCTTTCCCTATCCAATCTTTTTTTTCACCTCGTCTCAAGAAATATTTGCGTCCTCACGAAACCACGAAACCAACACAAAACTATGTAGTATACATGCCAGACCAGCATGTGGCGCTGTAATTCTGCCACAGAGATACACTAAAAACGGAGAAGACTTGGACTATGCGCATAAACCTTGATATACAAACGAACATGGAACAATACATTTATGTACGTGACGTAGCGGTGTCTGACTTGGGGTGAGACGTGGGCTGATGACGCCATCGTTTCAGAAAATATACGGATTCGCTGTCCACACGAAAATGCAAGGGCGGCGTTTTCAGATTTATCCACTCTGGGACCCGGTTTAAAAAAATATCGGTTTCACTCTCCCAAAACGCCGGATCCGTCTGGATGAAACGCCTATACGATACAAAATGTATGCGTATACAGCTAAATGTGTCTCCGTGTGGATGGGGCCTTAATGAAAGCAGTTAAATCTTCTGTTTATGCGGGGCATATTTGGAGTTTCCGCGCGAGAGCGCTCTCTGGCCTTCGGATGGAGATTTACTACTGATCACAGAACTGTGCTTCCCTGACAAGATGCGAATGACAATTGCAGCTTTTGCCTAACCGCGATTGCTATTTAATTTTGATAAATTGTGCAGCCCTATGATACTGTTATGATAAAAAAATCTTAGACAGTAATTTCTTCATTTTTATCAGGAGGTATGTAAAATCAAAAATGGAGTCCATGTCTTCAATATGAAATATGAGCCTTTTATACATCCACTGTGGGGGAAAAAACAAACAAACAAAAAAAATTCCTGTACACTTCTATACACTGGAGAAAAACATGGATTATCAGATGTTTACTTCTATTTCTTTAGAGAGAAGTATTATTTTTCCTATTTATGGCCAAAATAGGACTGAGTGTGCATTACTGAGTGCTAAACTCATGTAATGTCTGTTTCATTCATACTGGATACCAGAGGAAACTCCAAATATGCATCACAGTAATAAAGTAATAGAACTCATGATGCTCCAGGAAATCCCTAATATAAACAAAGGTATCTAGCTATCACTGTGACTGAATGAATTAAAAGAAGCTAGAAACTTATGAACTGATTAAACATGAAAACAATAATCCTACGACAATATATGGTTTATCAGTGTTCTTCACGCCATCTCAGGCATTTTCATAATAATAAAGTAAATTTATAATGCAATGCTAATCGACATTGCCTTTACTGCAGTATAGAATACATTTTGTGCCTCATTCTGTAATAAGCCATATCAGATCAAAAAATGAAGTTATTTCAAAACACTCGACTGATGTTGTGGAGTAAAATCATGTTATAATGTTCTCAACAACAGGTTTATAAACGCTTCTCATTAAGTTTGAGAGGATGTCTGGAGTGTGTTGCTTAATCAGATGCATGTTATAAGCTAAAGCGCTTCTTCCCTCCTTTTATAGCAATCAGTCTGCTCTTACAATCTATTTAGTATGATAGTGATTTCCCCTGACTAGTACTCATTCACACTTTCACATGTGCTGCTGATATGATTAGTCAATTAATGTTAGCTGGTCATTTTGTGTCAGGATCAAAAAAGAGTGAAAAAAATGTTTTTAATGAAAAAGTTAATTTTTTGGCCAATGAAGCTTTTAGCAATTATTTAAAATGCATCTGATCACTCTACACAATAATCTAGAAACAATGTGAATGAACCACAACATCTTAAGCTGCAAACTTTGCAAAACACAAAATTTGTCACTGCCAAAACCTTTGGCCAAGACTGTATACAAAATGGCCCCATGGTATTTGGACACTTAAGTCAAAAAAAAGCGAAAAAAGCGAATAACGCTTAACGAGAGTCTTTGCGCATTGTGTTCATATCCTGCTGTTCTGATTTGCGTGATTTGCGTGTCTTGTCTTTTTCTCCTACAGGTGACTTGGCAGGACCCTGTATGTTATGGTACTAAATTAGTTTTAATCGTTTAACCACCACAGCGTCTCGTCTCCATTGGCAACACGCACCATTTGAGTCGATTGCAAATGATGTCGCAGGTAACGGAGAGTGCAGGTGGCGATTGCAAGTGACATTGTAATTTTGTTTCTTTTTTTCTTGTCTTGACCACCTGGTTACTGTTGTAAAATGTTGAGAGATTCAATGTAAAAAAAAAAAAAAAATAAAATAAAAAAAAGATTGAAAGTGACGTCACTTGAGGAAGCACAGGTATCTGAGAGTGTAAGTGCATGTCTGCAGCCAAACCCTATTGGTCACGTTGAATTAGGCTACGTCCACACGAAGCCAGAGCTTTCCCTATCCAATCTTTTTTTTCACCTCGTCTCAAGAAATATTTGCGTCCTCACGAAACCACGAAACCAACACAAAACTATGTAGTATACATGCCAGACCAGCATGTGGCGCTGTAATTCTGCCACAGAGATACACTAAAAACGGAGAAGACTTGGACTATGCGCATAAACCTTGATATACAAACGAACATGGAACAATACATTTATGTACGTGACGTAGCGGTGTCTGACTTGGGGTGAGACGTGGGCTGATGACGCCATCGTTTCAGAAAATATACGGATTCGCTGTCCACACGAAAATGCAAGGGCGGCGTTTTCAGATTTATCCACTCTGGGACCCGGTTTAAAAAAATATCGGTTTCACTCTCCCAAAACGCCGGATCCGTCTGGATGAAACGCCTATACGATACAAAATGTATGCGTATACAGCTAAATGTGTCTCCGTGTGGATGGGGCCTTAATGAAAGCAGTTAAATCTTCTGTTTATGCGGGGCATATTTGGAGTTTCCGCGCGAGAGCGCTCTCTGGCCTTCGGATGGAGATTTACTACTGATCACAGAACTGTGCTTCCCTGACAAGATGCGAATGACAATTGCAGCTTTTGCCTAACCGCGATTGCTATTTAATTTTGATAAATTGTGCAGCCCTATGATACTGTTATGATAAAAAAATCTTAGACAGTAATTTCTTCATTTTTATCAGGAGGTATGTAAAATCAAAAATGGAGTCCATGTCTTCAATATGAAATATGAGCCTTTTATACATCCACTGTGGGGGAAAAAACAAACAAACAAAAAAAATTCCTGTACACTTCTATACACTGGAGAAAAACATGGATTATCAGATGTTTACTTCTATTTCTTTAGAGAGAAGTATTATTTTTCCTATTTATGGCCAAAATAGGACTGAGTGTGCATTACTGAGTGCTAAACTCATGTAATGTCTGTTTCATTCATACTGGATACCAGAGGAAACTCCAAATATGCATCACAGTAATAAAGTAATAGAACTCATGATGCTCCAGGAAATCCCTAATATAAACAAAGGTATCTAGCTATCACTGTGACTGAATGAATTAAAAGAAGCTAGAAACTTATGAACTGATTAAACATGAAAACAATAATCCTACGACAATATATGGTTTATCAGTGTTCTTCACGCCATCTCAGGCATTTTCATAATAATAAAGTAAATTTATAATGCAATGCTAATCGACATTGCCTTTACTGCAGTATAGAATACATTTTGTGCCTCATTCTGTAATAAGCCATATCAGATCAAAAAATGAAGTTATTTCAAAACACTCGACTGATGTTGTGGAGTAAAATCATGTTATAATGTTCTCAACAACAGGTTTATAAACGCTTCTCATTAAGTTTGAGAGGATGTCTGGAGTGTGTTGCTTAATCAGATGCATGTTATAAGCTTGCAGAGATGAGCAGCATTTACTACTGGCGCTGTGCATATATTTATTTTAATAAAAATCACAGCCTTTGCGATTCAAAAATCGCATCAAGCCAAATCGCGATTTCAGTTCGATTTCGATTAATTGTTCAGCCCTAAATTGAAACAGTAAAATTAAAGTCAGTCCTCACCATCTTCATCAACAGCATTTAGCTGTGATTGTTTGGAGACAGCTGCAGTGTCTGAACTGTGTACAGGAGCAGCCTGCAGGGACTGACTTAACATGTCCGAGTAACGCTCTGTCTGACCCACGATGAAATCCAGCTGGAGATCTAGAGCCTTCTTCCGCTTCTCTTCCAGTCTGGACTGTTGTTTATACTGGACCACCTGTGTACAGCAATGGACGGGAAAGAGTTTAAAGTATGAATCATTGACAGTTTTTAATACAATAAAGGTTTCATCCCAAAAAAATAAAAATAAAAAATAAATAAACAATTCACTGAAAGTCACCTTCTCGACGCTGCTCCAGAAGGAACGGACCTCCTTGGCAATAGAAGAAGCAACTCTTCTCAGTTTGGTCTGCTCCTCTCGTTTCGCTCTCTCTTCCTTCTGTCTCAGCTCCTCATGGTGGCGCATCACCATCCGTACTACCTGAAAATGAGTTCAGATTGGTGAGATAGATGCTCTCTTAACACAACATAAAAAAAAATAGCATGTTTCAAACAGGACAGTATGAATGTACCGTTTCTTACCTTTCGGGCCACACCTCTTTTCCATCGCCTCTCTTGTGCAAAATCTGCAGAGAGCCACTGCATTTCCTCACAGAGGTAATCCCAATGCACTTTGGGCCGTACTGGTTCGGTTATACGAGACAGACGTTTTAGGGACCAGAAACCTTCACGTTTTAGTGCAAGGGTACGATGTTCTATTTCTGCTTCCTGTTAAAAGTAAAAAATTAATTAATTAATAAAAATAAAATACAAGGATAAACATCCACTTATAACCATTAAATCACTGTATTTCTGAAAGTAAAAGTTTTAATGTGTCCTTCTCTTACATGTTTTGCCAGTTCTGCCATATCTGTATGCTTTGGCGTGGATTTCAGTGTGGTTGTTTGCTCTGACTGAGAACAGCCAACATAACCCTGGGACGAAGTGGAGGGCATGTTTCTGCCATGAGAGTTGCGTACTGGTGAGGCCCTGCCTGTGTGAGAACGCATCCAGTCACCAGATGAGGGAGATGGAGATGGACATGGAACAGGGGAGGTGGAAGGGGTAGAGACTGCTGTAACCTTGCCTGCAATCCACTGGCAAACCTTGGGAAAGACAAATAAAACAGTGTGTCTGACTGCGTAACTGCACAATATTATTCAGCATGGAGTACAAAAAGAGATAGAGTGCCCAAGAAGAGATAAAAGAGCTTCATAAAAACAGCCTGGTCTACAAGGACATCTTGGTGAGCAAACGTCTTATAGTCTCTCTCCTAATTTCTAAATAATACATGCTACTCTGAATGATAGAAAGGTGATAGAAGATGAAATAGTTTCATACACTCAGCTCTGTTTTCCTGTAAGTTTATACTTGTAAAAAACAAAAACAAACAAAAAAAAAAAACAGGAATTTTTAAGCTAGTGAGTTGAAGCAGTGATAGACCGATATATATTCCAGGTCAATAAAATGGTCTTTTTGAGATTTTTGGCATATACCAAAAACCATGCCAGCTTGGCTTACTGAACACAAGTTTTACTTTCCCCCTTTTTGTGAATTTAAATATTGGGTAAAATAAGTGTTCACTTCAGTGTCCGCATATTTGTTAAAAATGTATTTTCTTAGCCTACATACCAGAATTTTTACTGGGTACCCCACTTTCTAGATAACAGTATTTGCCATTACAAAAACCCATATCGGTCAACCACTAGTTGGAAGAAGCAGAATCATTGCATCAGCTTGCAATGATCAGATCTGAAGGATGCCTGACACCTCTTACCTTCAATAACAAGCCTTGTTTGTCTGTCCTGCTCTGCCCACGCTGGAAAACACACATGGCTCAATATACAGCCAAGAAGTGCACTAGCATCAGATCGTGGCTTTAAAACGGTTATGGATAGTGTACACAGGCTCAAAAACATCTGAATTATAAATACACTTCTGCTGACTACCTCTGATGCTTTCATTGTGACCAAACATGTACATCAAATACAACAAATTACAAATTAAATCACTGCTTCATCATGGTTAAAGTCATAATAGGTCAGTTAATAGTTTATTTGCTTTTACCTTGTTCGCTGCTGGACTGGGCGTAGCATTGCTATCCTCATTCTGGACCTCCATTGAGCTGTCAACCTCTCCATCGCTGCTCTCTTCTATAGAAGCATCAAGTGGCTCCAGGATGGTGTTTTGAGCATCCTGCGTTGTTGACAAAAGTTCATCCAGTAACTGTTGCTGCTCCAGCTCCAGTTCCCCCCCCAAAGACATTGAATCCTGGCATGGTGTACCAGCCAAAGACTGTTTACACCGATTCCCCTCTGGGACAACACTGGATGCAGTACCCCACACATCTCCAGCAGGAGGAGGAAGGTGGCTTTGTGAGTTATGGAGTTGTACTGAAGTTGATAAAGAAGTATTAGCAGAGGATTCGTTTTGAAGCAACTTGTCAGAACTATTTAATTTATTTAAGTTTTCTTTCTCAGAGCTGTTCTGTGAAAGTACATTAGAAGTGGAAACAGTCCGAGAGGACTGAGAGAGAGTGTTTGAGACAGGGCGGTCAGCAGGCAACATAGCATCCTCCTTTATGGTGGAGGACGCAGCTGTATAAGTTTTAGCAAGGCACTCTGAAGCTTTATTGAATCCATCACTGGGTGTTTCAACCGGGACAGGTGAGTTCTGCTTGGCTGAGATCCTAGCAGACAGGGAAGAAGGTTGCTTAAGGGCAGGGCTGTCAGCCTTCTTTAAGATCAGTAGCTTTGGATCAATCGTGCCACAAGACAATGAAATTAATGACACACCTGGTGTGTTTTCCACCACACCAGATTCTTGCTGTTCTCGCACAGAGTCAAGTGTGACGTCCATCACCGTGCATGTTAACCCTGTCAACGTGTTTGCAAGATCAGTCTGACTTGAATCATCATTTTGCTTGACAATTATAGATTCTTCTTTTTGCGTAGAGGGCATGGTAAGTAACTCTTCTGTGGGTTTGAGTGCATCAGGACGAGATGAGGTCTGATTCCCTAGATTACTCTGGGCTTGCAAGTCTTGCATCAATGTTTCCATTGGTTTCTCCTCTTCTTTGTCAGTTAACAGCAGCTTAACATCACTGTGAAGGGCAGCTGATGTAAAGCAGGGCACAGTGCATTCATATACAGCAACAGTTGACTGGGATTCAGGGCACTGCACCAGAGACTCCTCGCTGACCTCCATCTCTGCATGCTCAGACTGCCCATCTATCTCGCTTACAACCAGCCAGGTATCCTCCATATCTGGCTGCATTAAAATACCTACATCGATCAAATCTTTCACCTCAACAGCACTGAGAGCCTCTGCACTCACTTCCTGCCTCTCTTCCACATTCACAATATCTGCAGTATCATTCAGGCATATCTGAATCTGTGAGAGTTTATGATCAGCTGGAAGGGACTCTTGTACATGTTGGACCATACAGTCAGAAAGATTTGGCTGATCTGATTCTAGCCCCTCTAAAGTCACACAGTTCTCCTTGTGTGTGAGTAGCACGCTCCCATCCTGATGGTGATTTGAAGACATGGATATTTCTATTCGATTGGCACTGTCATTCTGCTTCAAAATCACATCAGAAGAGCCGCAAACCATGACTTGTGACCTTTCATTCACCTGTACATTGTCAGTGCATGTCCCATGCCCAGACAGCTTTGGTTCATCAACAGAAATGTTGCGAAATACTTCTTTAGCAGCCACATTAAAACACAGATGACCATCTACAGGGACTTTCTCGTTTCCTTGCCCCTCCCTTGCACTAGTCTCTTTACCCAAGTGAAACATTTTGGGGGTTTCACTTAAACTTACATACTGAGAGCTTAGCTCTTGCACACACTGTGTATTCTCAGGCGGGGTGGGCACACCAGGTGTTTTTGTCCTTTGTAAAGCCTTTTGTGTTTTACTGCAGTCCTCTGGGGGATAACAGCTGCCCTTATCGGGGTCATTTGGCATGCTATTTCCACTGTTGAGGGTAATGTGCTCCCCTTCTTGTTTTGATGATGCATATCCTGAGCAAAGGGAATTTCCACTATTACCTTGTTTTGTTCCCAAGGTTTGTCTAATTGGACTAACTGCTCCTTCTTTGTCTGTTTTAGCCAGATCTTGCGTGACAACTTCCATAGCCTCCTTAGACTCAAGTTTACAATCCTGCTTCGCTGAATTTGTCGTACTTTGTTTCTGTGGGATGCCAAACGCAGATGTGGCAGTCTGATTTGTCTGAAAAAGGGGAGTTGTTTGGGGCTGCTCCATGTCTCTGCCTGTTGTCTTAACTGCACTTGAGACTGCTGGGATGACTTTTGTTGTTGGGACACAGGGGCTTTCTTCAGGTGCGTGCTTTCCAGACATGTTCTTGTAGTCCAATTTGATTGTCTCTGGAGGCAAGGGTCCCTTTTCTGTCTCAATAGGGGTAGAGACACCCCCTGCATCTCCAGGGTGTTGGCTCCAATCTTGGCAGTGGTCTGTGCCGGATCCTTCCGCCATATCGGTCTCCCTGTATGCAAGACTTGCTTGCTCTGTGTTACACCTGTACAGCAAATCCTGTTTCTGCGTAATGCTATCTGTCCCGCTCTCAAAAAGTCTGTCTGAGGCAGTCTGACCCTCCAATGTGTCTGTAAGGTTTTGTGTGTCTTCAGCAGTAGCTGACACCAGTCCTCTTTGGGCAGCTGATATCTCCGCTGATTCCTCGGTGCCACTGTTTCTTTGAACGTAAGCGATGGTCTGTTCTTTACATGCAACCTTTGAGTCTCCTTTCTGCTGCGATCCAGTGGCGACATCAACCGATGATGGTGGTAGAGTGGCAGCTGTGACTGGCTGCAGGGCATGCTGGGGAGGCCCGGCCACATTCTGCGCAACCACGGAGGTGCCACCCAGCACAGCCACTGCCGGACAGGTGCGCTGCTGCACCACCTCTTCCCCAAACTGTCCTGCTTTAGAACCGGCACTGCTACACACTAAACCTGAAAGTACAGAAGTGAGATGTGGCATGACTAACCCTTTACAAAATGCACAAATACATGACACAAATATGTTTAGATGAACGTATAAACAAAAATTTTCAGGAAGTATTTAAACATCGAAGCTGATACAACAGCACTCTCACTAGCATCTGAAAGCATTACAGAATTAGCCAGACAAGCAAGGGGTGGAAAATGTAAGAATTTTATGAGTAACAGACATTACTATTCCGCAGAAATTGTGTAACTGTACACCAGCCATGGATTATGATCGGGTCAACATATAACTTAAATGGAATGATTAAATAAATACCTGTATGTGATGAAGCACCAGTCTCTTCCGTGATTTCCACTTCCAGGATGCTGAGATCAAGGGTACCGCTGCATCTGAGGATCTAAAGATAAACAATTGGAGTAAATTTCATGCATTAGATCATCTATTTGTAAAATCAAACCTAAAATCCTAAAGAAACAGCAAGAGCATGATCCGACATATATGAGGGGGAAAAAGTGCTTTCTTAGAATGCAAGGTATAGACGAATAAGCTGCAGCAGGACTATGTGAATTCCTCAAAACTCTTCTGCTCTACGTAGTCGGTGGTTAAAATGCAAGAGCAGCCAACACAAGTAAAAAGAGCGTTTCTCATTGACTGAATCTACAAAGTTACGGAGAAAACTTTCGTTTAGCAATACAGTAAATTCATTAGAATGTTGAGCTACTATTAAATCTTCCAAACAGCCGGCTTCTATACTAAAGGAATATATAGAGCATATATGAAGAAAATAGTGTCGTGTTTTACTGGAATATTAACTGCACACAACTTTTAAAACACACACCTTGTTACTTAAATGTTAAAAATAAAAATGCTGTACAGCAGGACAATTAACGTTAGTCTCATTCAACTTATAGTTACAATAGTGCGGGTGCTTCACGTTCGGCTAGCCTTTAGCAATGACTTACCGCTGATTCGGACGTTATTCTCCTACGACTGCTTATAAACTTAAGAAGATAGGATGGCGGTTGACGTTTAATACCGAATACGGATAACAAATGGAGCCGGCAGTTCTGTATGCATGAGGCGGGCGAACACACATTGGCCTTTAGCAGGCTAGGCAAAGCTAATAGCTCACAGACGTTACAATGGAGCCGACACGATAACGTTTCGTTTTTGTTGTTGGCGTTTAAATGACAGGGAGCTACGGTCCTAAACTGTTTTGTGTAATAGTACGTGAGAGGGCGTCTGTTATTATATAATTTTCTGACTCAGACAAACACACTGACATATACATAAAACACTGACATATACATAAATAACGTTACACACACCGTCTCAAGCTCTCAGGCGCGCGCTGAACACACCGCTCGGGCAAAGAGCGCGTGTGCACACCTCGGCTTCCATAAGAAGTTGTGCAATGATCAAGAACAAACTATTATTCATTATAATCCATATCGAGGGGTTTTAAAGACTTGTCACTAAACATAAACGTATTACTTCTCATTTTCTTTTACACCCTTTACAGAAGCGACCTCTTGACGTCACCGCGCGGGGTCAAGCTACACAAAAATGCCTGTCAACTAGCGATGCCGAGTCGGATCTTTTCAAATTTAAAGTATACGAAACAGTAGCTCTTTTAATAAATGATATATTATGATTGTATTATAAACTTTGTAAAACTGGCAAGATATATGTAGTGCTTTATAGTACTAATGTATGCTGTTTATATTTGGGCTCCAAATGCCTTGACATTACACATTAGGCTACGTTACATCAAATTACAATAAAATAAACTTATTAATATAATGTAATAAAAAAAGGTAATAAACAGCAATATGTGCCTACATGCATCTTTCACACAACTTTATTAGATAAGTTTTACAGCACGTAATATGCCACGCCGAGATGGGACCACTGGATGACAAAGAATCACTGAATCGGTTCTCAAACCGGGGTTTTGATTCGAAAGAACCGATACACAAAAATGAGTTGGACTTTCCATCAACTACAGTCAACAAATCTACAGGCTATTATGTTGTACGTTGTATATTCTAGATTCGCGAATCTTCATTATTTTAGTAATACATTTGTTAATTCGGAATGTTATATGAAAACCACTCACATTAAACACACCGGAGGCTAAAGTAACGCACAAAAATGATAACTTGGTTGTTGTTTCACTTGCAGTGACAGACGACTTTCGTTTTCAGCTCGCTGCCTCAAAAGTGTGCAGTACCAAGAAATCAGAACCCATCAGATTTGCTAAGGTTTTGGGTGCAATTCTATATGTTGCACTAAAAGTAGATAACAAACATGAAATGCGCTGTTGATCCAATCAAGTCAGCTCAATGAAGGCAGTACTGTAGATGACCTTACAAAACCGAAAAAATACTTTCAGCACCCGATTGCTTGAAAGTCAGCTTGTCCCGCCATGCCACAGTTCCCTCCTCCCCCTCCCATCACTTCCTCCCCAGCATTCCCCCCTCCTCAGCATTCCCCCCTCCTCTCACCACCGCCATCTTAAGTTCCCACCTACCTGAAATTTCCGAGCACTTTTCTTTTACTAAATTCTCGCTGAAGGAGTCGCCATCCGCTTCAAATCGTACTCAATCCGTGTTGAGACTTTTCCAAACTGTCTCTCGGTACCCAGTGAGGTACTGGCAGGTTCGCAGGCTCAAGTCAAAGAACGATCCGAGAGAGACTGGGTCCGGAATCGCTGAATCTAGCGGTTGCGGGGAGGAGACTTTCGACGCAGCGAAATGGAGGAACGAACGACTGCTGACCAAGTTGCGGAGCAAACAGACATCTCGCGAGACGTGCTTCAGCGCGCGCAGGCTTCTGAGTTTCTGCTGCACAGGTCTCAGCCGTTGCTGAAAATTCGCCGTGTTTAGATTTCTTTATTAAACGTAAATATCAAACAAAACCATGACTTGTTCGCACGTAACTTTAGAAATATATGAATTTTCAAACTAGTGTTTAAGAGTATCTCACTGTGTAGCTGGCAGCAGTTTGACGACAAGCTACAACTTACTGATATGACATAATTCACTAATTTTAGATTAAATTAAGAATTTTTAAAAAACAAATGTCTCGATAGATGTTTATGACCCGAGATACGATTTTTGATCTCATGGCTTATAGTAACAATTAAGTATAAGATATTTTGTGCACATATATTAAGTAAAATAAAATATGCAAAGTCCAGATAGGTCCCAATTTGGCTCTGAAATTGAGAAATGACAGTAACACACTATTTAAATATACACAATTAATCAATACACTACCACACATGTAAATAACCAACAATTTTTAATAATTAATTCATCTTTGTGGTTTTCTTTTCAAGGGGAGAGGGACATATTTAAAATGTATAAAATTGTTTTGCTCAAATATTTAATCCAGAATGTCCTGTATCTCCAGAGTCTTTCTAATCCTATAGTTTATCTGCAAGTACAAGATTTTTTTCAGTCCACAAACGCCTCATTTCACTCTGTGTGTTTGGATGATGGTTGTTGGAGACTTCCATTTGCTTCAACTGTGGAAAACATAGAAATAACACACACACACCTCCCCCAAAGTATGAAGATGTTCAGTTCTCTGAACCATAGAGGCTGGCTTTGATACATCCTCAGTACACAGGCTTTACCATAACCAGTATATTGGAGCAATATCACTGTAGTGCTTTGCTGGACAATAATTATCACAGACTCATTTCAACAAGTGAGTGCATTTGGTGAGACCTGAAACATGACATTATAACATAAACAGTGAATATATTTATTATGGAAGGTAATGTTAACAATAATTATTACAAAAGCAATATCTCTATTCTACTATATTCTGGCCCAACTCTTGTAATGAGTCAGACTAATGAATGGGAGACAGTTATTTCCCTTTTAATTTTAAAATATTATCCAACAAGATGTACGGTTCATAACTTTTTTAAAGAATAAAATAAATCTTAAGAAGTTCATTCTGATGTTCATGGAAGTTTTCTGATGGATGACTTGAATATTTAAAGCAGAATGTGGACCATGTGTTCCCAACAGTGCTGATTCAGACAACGAGAAGTACTTGACTACTTAAGCAGATGTCCGATTTCTCCTTCTTCAAATGCAAAGCTGAGGACTCAACAGTAGGTTTTCCTTAAGTTCACCAAGACAAACAAGTTCACAATTTTTGATCCATCACTCTTCAAACACAACCTGTCTTCATATTGGTAGTAATGAATAGTCTTTTAACATCCACAGGCCTCTTTGTAAAGAAAACCCTACATAAAAACCAGGGCACAGCAAAAGAGAACCTTAATTGCACCAACTTAACCACAGTGGATATCAAGTATATCAAACAGCCCTGGGAAGTATCTCTGTTCTCTCCCCAGGTTGTTTCAACACTTGTGTATGGTCACTGAAGCTTAGCTCTTTTTGAGTGTCCTGCAAATTCTTGCCGTTTAAGGAGCAGTTTCTTCAGCACAGCAGTTCTGGAAGCTCCTTGAGCTTTACCTAGTACTATCTGGACTCGCCGTCTTTATGTGTGGTAAAAAGGGCCAAGTCTCCTGCTGGGCCAAGTCCAAGTCTGGGGCCACGGGGTGGAGTAGAAGATCTGTTCACAGATGAAATGAGAGGTGGTGGAGCCCCAACAGACAACGCCCCAACTAGACCTGGTGTCTTTGTTAGAATGCCATTATGTACGTGAGAGTGATGCAGAGGTCCCAGTCTAGAGTAAAGGCCAGGGTGATGTGATGCTTGTGCAGACGCTCCAGCTGCTTGGAGATGAGAGTGGGATAGCAGCCCTGCGTGAAGCTGTTCTAGGTGGGCAGCATGAGACGGGCTAGGAAGGTGAGGTGCGGACAGGTGTGGATGCATTCCAAAGTACCGCACTCTTTCCAAGTCTTCCCGCAGTATCTGAGCACGTTGTTCCTCATCAAACGGGTGGGACATCAAACGGAACTCTGGCCTGCCTGCTGCGGATGAAGCAGAGGACGTAGAGGTAGGTGCTGGTGGATGGTGAGGGCTGGTTGCCACAGCTGCCTCCAAATAACGCTGTACCTGCTGATGTTGGAGAAATCTAGACAAGTGTGGATCAGAGCGAAGTGCAAGGTGGGGATCTGACCTCAGAGTCAATATTTCCCTGCGTTGCTGATGTTGAGCGGCCAGATCCCTCCAAGGGTCCCAGGGAAAGCTGTGAGTGGCTTGGGAATGACCATGTGGAGGACCATGTGGATGTGGTGGGAAACGATCAGCTGCAGTACCTAATACCAGTCCGACTGAGCCTCCAGCACCACCAAGATAGGGATCAATAGCCCGCGTACGATCTAAGAGGGACAGATGATGGTGGGGAGGGTGCGGAGTTGGTGGAGGAAGAGGCATGCCAGGTGTAGGTGTCAATGAGTGGGTTGAGGAAGGGGTTGATGGATGGGGTGGGTGCCGACTATTAGGCCGTTCAAAGTTGTGTGGAGGTAAGGAGATGGGCACTGGCTCAGGCTCCTCTTTACGCTCTTCCTTGACCTTGACTTGGGGGAGGAGCAACCCAGAGGTTAGACCATGTGTAGGTTTCGATACCGGAGTTGTGGTACGATCAGATTTCTTAACTGGAAGTGAACTAGAAGAGGCTGGACCACTATTCTCTCTTTGCGATGAATGGCTGGATTCTGTGCTGAGTGTGTGTGGTGGCTGTCGGTGAAATCGATCCAGAGGAGAGGGGGCTAAGGGAACGTTAGAAGGAGAGGTTGTGAGAATAGATGATGTTGAAGATCGAGGTCTGTCTGGTGCTGCGGAGGAAGCGGACACTGGTGCCCTGGATACAGAATGTTGTCTCTTGTCTGACTCCCTTTCTCTTTCTCTTTCACGCTCTCTGCTTTGGCCATCTGATTGAACTCCACCTCCACTCAGTGGGCCCAAGCCATTCATATGTGAACTGGGGGTGCTGCTGCGGTGCTTGAGGGATGGGACACCAGGTGACATTCGCACTGACAGGCGTCCATACAAGAGACTGTCTCTGTGTGAAACAGTATTAAACCAATTAAGTATGTGTCAAGTTGTGAGATGCGATACATAATTCCCTTTTGATCTTAAAAGCCCCTTGAAATCTACAGAAAAAAAAGAGATGTGTTATAATCTCATACCTGTCCTTTTCATCTTTTATACGAGTCGGTTCTCTTCTTTCCACCTCCTTTCCTCTATCATCTCTTTTCTCTGGTCCTTTTGCCCAGGATGATCCAGAGGGGAAAGAGGCAGGTGTAACATGCAGACGATTCCATGGATCATGGGGGTTACCCAATCCTCCAACTGCACTAGCAGAGGGCTCGGTCTTATGTCCAAAAACATTGGCAACTAAAGAAAATGTATAACATTTGCTTAGTCTTTGGCTGAGAGTAGAATGTGACTGATAAAACACCACTTAAATTAACCTTTTAATTAAAATGTTTAGGAAATGTTAGAAAACCAACACTTTCACATTAGAGCAGTGATTCTCAACCAGGGGTCCTCTGCAAACGTGGGGCCTGAAGATGACTTAAACGATTTAATACAAGGCAAAACAACAAAATCAAGATATATCAAAGTTTTGAAAAACAAAATTCTTTTGTTTTCTTTGAGAACCAGGAATACCACTGGAAAGGCCATGTAAATTGATTAAATCTTATAACTCCTTGGGCACTTCTATAATAAATATACTTTTTTCCCCCAAGTTATGCCAACTTGTAAATAAACTAAATTAAAAAAAAAAAATCATTATCCAGTAAACCACAAAAAACTGCCTTGAAGTCAAAAAGGTTGAGAACCACTGTGTTAAGAGTCATCCATATCCATTAATCCATATTCTTAAACAAAATAGCATGACAAACCTATCGTGGGGCTGCCTAGGCCTCCAAAGGCACCAGAACTCAGGGCTCCCAAAGAGAAGGTGGATGGACGAACATATGGGTCTGTAACATGAAACCCGGCCATTAGTGATCAAATTTAGACGTGATTGTCTTACTAAACGCAGAGGAAATTATGCTCTACAAAGCTAGCAAATGAAGCAAGCCTGAAGAACAGAACTGCACAGAGCAACAAGAGCAGCCATGGGTCACATTGGTTTTTGATGCCCCTACTTTCTCAGAGACAGACTCTTACCCAGATGTGCTGCTGAGGTGAGGAAAGAGGAATGGGGCGTTGATGGAGGCATGAATGGTGTGGAGGACGGATTGACTCCACCTGAGAAGACATGGGTCAACTCAGACAAAAACTTAAACACCCATAAATGGACTACCATTGAGTGTTGACATTTAGCCAAGTTTGTGCTTTATATCCTCCTTAAGCCTTTCTAATTTAGAGCCCTCGTATGGCAGCACAGTAGTTCTGTAAAAATCCTTCAGTAGTGCTGTCAAAGTGTTTTGTACCTGGAAACTGTTATTTAGGTAGAAACAACCGACTTCAACGTCTTAAAATCAATCGTAGCTTAAGAACAATCACAGGTTTATGTCACCTGCAGAATTCCCTAAATTGGTTGCAGAAATAAGTGTAAAAAGTAAAACCCACCAGCGGCTGCAAACAGGCTTCCTGGTCTTGTAAGATCAGAAGTTGGGGCAAGTGGACCACCAAGTGGTCCTAGACCTCCTAGTCCACCAATACCAGGGCCAGGGAGTCGAGGCAACAGGTCATTACGGAAGTCCAACTTTTGTGGATCAGCATGCATAAGCTGAGAAAGACAGCAACAGAAAGGTGGTCAACAGGACTGACACCACTTTTTAATTAAAAACATATCTAAAATCTTATTGTTTTGATGGTCAATTATATTGTATATCAACTGATTTTTCTTTTTTATGTAAAATACCAGGAAATATTT